CTTGTTCCATTTTCTTCACATATAAATTGGAACTTTCACAGTGAAATGAAGTGACGGGAGTTTGAACCCAACAGGAAGCAGACGCGTCTCCGTCTGTAGGTCAAAGATTCTCTGGTCCCTGCAGAGGCAGAGACCCTCAGATTGAGACACGTGGTCCTCAGAACATAACATAACCAGATCCATTTTGTTCTTCTGTTTTTTTGTTTTTTTTTACTGCTGAGATCCAACAACATGAGTGGATACTTTGTTAATGACCGGTGTGGACGACCATCGGTTCCAGTGCCTTTGGTCAGAGCAGAGAAGTCAGGAACTTTACAAGGACATCAAGACAGACCTGCAGGTGGAGACCAGGGTCCAGAGAACTGGGAGGTCGGGGACTGAAGATTAGTATCTGGTGAGACCTTAGAAGTCAGGAGGCCGTGAGGACAGACCTGGAGGAGGAGACGTTTTACAGTGGTACTGATTATTGTCTGGTTCTTAAAAGTTCTGGAAATACATGTGAAAACCCACGAAAGGCCCAGACTTCTATTGTTTATATTTCTACATTGGATTCCCTGCTCCTTGTTAAAGCTCTTCAGGACTGGGAGGCCGAGGGAGGCAGAGGGAGTGAAGGGGGGGAGGGGGAGAGAAGAATTTAAAAAACCCCCCTCAGGGGCCGGCGCCACCACCCCCAGCCACAGCCACAGCCACAGTCACAGTCACTCAGATATTCTGACAATTACAGCCATGTCCCTGCCTTCTCTCTCATGAGACGGAATCCATGCTGGTTTAAGCCTGAGGGGTGAGAGAAGGTGGGTGAGTTGGGTCCCCTTCGTCTTTTTTCCCCTTCCCCGCCCCCCCCCCCTCCCCCCCCCCCCCCCCCCCCGCCCACCCCCACAGCGGCTGATAACAATATCGCTGCTCTCTCCTTTTTCAATCACTTTGCATATGTCCTTTACCTACACACACACACACACACACAGGGAAGGGGAGGGAGGAGGTGGGTGTGGGTGTGGGTGTGGGTGGTGGAGCTGGACTCACAGGTCAACGGTGCAGGTGCTGACGGAGGCAGGTGAACCCGAGTCGTTTTAATAACACCCACAGAGAAATAAGATTCTCAGACTTCAATGACGGCGGGAGCCGGTTCCCACCCCCCCCCCCCCCCCCCCCCCCCCCCTCACCCACCCACCCCCCCGGCTCTCTCCACTTTATGAATTTACTTAATTGACGCTGGCGAGGAGCTTGTGGGACTGTGAGCTATTGATTTGCTGGAGGCTTCGGCGTGGCTGGAAATACCAGCGCGTCTCCTGGGTGGACTCATGAAGCGTTCTCACTCCCGTCCCCCAGCGTCCAGGAGTCGGCCTTTTCAATGGATTTCTTCATAATGTCTCCATGGAAAGCTAATGCTCTGGCTGTACGGGGGGGGGGGGGGGGGGGGTCTGTCTCCGAGGAGTCCTCACCCTTTGACCACATTTGTCAAACTTGGGAAGCCATATGGTACAGCTCCTTTTTCACTAGGATAGTTCTCCTGACGGGGACGACGGCCGGAAGTGAGACAGATCCAGGCTTTATTTCCCAAAATGAAAAAAAACAAAACAAAAAAAACTGTCCAACAGGATGGAGGCGGCCCTGGTGCCACTCGTAGCCTGAGGGTTGGGACCGAGACGACAAGGAGGACGCATTCTTCAACACGGGGTCTGACAGCGAGCAGCTACGGAGATGTGACAAAAGACGACACAGACCAAACACAACGATCCCAGAGGAAGTTCCCAAACGGGCCACAGACAGTTCACACCACGTAGGTCGGACAAAGAGCCCAGTCAGTGTGTTCAACAGAGGTTACAAAAGATCTGGGGCAGATCACTTTAATTTTACACCAACCATGCCCCCTACTGGTGGTGTAGGGATCTGTCCTCATCGTCAGCCATCAACACAACTTTACAACAAAGTTCAAAATGTGGAAAAGAAGAAAAAGAAGACCGTGTCCAGCCAGCCTGGGCATCAGTGCCCTGCTGGTCAACAGTGATAGTGCAGACACTTTTCCTCCCTCTCAAAGGTTCATTCAGGTCATATTTGTTTTCTTGATTTTCCTCTGGTCGTTCAGAAGCTCGAGGACTGCGGTGTCAGAGAATCCAACAGTTCATGAAATACACTGGCTGCTCAAATTTGACCTTCTGTTTTTATGAGAACTCTTATTACAGATTATTATCAACATCTCAGTCCTGGACGCTCACTTTCAATTTGGTCTCCAGAATAAAGATCCTTGACCTGACGAAGTGCAGCGAGAAACTTTGCTGTGACACTGACCAACAACGACCAATGAAATAAGAGCTGACGGGACCATAAACCAAGGTCCGACTTTCTAGGTCAAATAACTGTGTTTCTTTTTAAACTTTTCCTTTCAATTTTTTTAGGATTTAAAAAAAAAATTACCTTCACTAAAGGTGTGAGAAAATATCAATACCCTGAAAGATCACAATATTCTGTCTCACGACACCTTAGATAGATATTCTACAGCACTTTTTATTCAAGTTTGAATGTTAGCAAATCTGTAGCAAAGATGGAAAATATCATGTTAAAAAAACAGATACATTTTATACCTGGCTAAAAAAAAAAAAACCCAGAAAAATTGAGTTCTCATTTACAGCAGCACTGAACGCTGCGGTGATTAAAAAACAAACACAAAAAAATCCCCGTCTCTCTGTGTTTGGCCTTCTCAGGAGCGGCGGCG